GGGGGGGGGGGGGGGGACTACTGAATCGATGTTGGACATGTCGTTGAGCCAGGCAAGTCCGGTATACCCGCCGGCAATTCGGTTGATGAGATCGCAATTCCCCAAGTTCTGGTAGGCAAGTTGGAGACCCGTCTGGGAACCTTGGAGCTCAGTCAGGTTGGACGTGAGGTAGCGGTAGCCGGGGTCGTCCACTGCGATCCCGGCCTCCGAAAGTCGAGTCAACAAGTGGAAGGTGGGTTCCTCTAACTTGGGCTTGCCCAAATAAGCATACCACTCACCACGGTCCTGTGCCGCCTCCGGTTCGTACTGCCTTGTGACTATCTCATCGAACGTCCTGCACAGAATCGCCCACGTCATTCCCAACTCCTCGTTAAAAAATGGAACCAACTCCTCTCAGTTTCGGTTTACTTTTTGCCCGGTTCGTGTTGGCACCGCCAGCTGGGTGACACTGCGTATAAGAAAAGCAGACTAGGATCATATTCTGACTGGGTCTCACCCGACTGAAAACAAAACTTTAACAGTGCCAGCACTCAGCACTTGTGATGCTTGCGAGATCATTGGACTTGCTCTGGGCGGAAATCGAAGCCGTTCGTACCGAGTATGAGTCGTGCACACGCGTTTGCCTTGCCCAGCGCCTCGGCGACGTCGTCCAGCGCGAGTTGTTTGCCCGGCGCAGTGCCCTTTTGGACCAGCACGGCGATCAGGCCGCCGAGAAAGGCGTCTCCGCAGCCATTGGTGTCGACGATATCGCTCACCGGCGGCACCGGGAACGTGGCCGACACGGGTCCGTCTTGTGTGAGCAGGGTGACCCAGGTATCTTGATCTCCTCTGGTGCAGACTGCCAGTCTCAGCGCCGGGCTCGGGCTCTGTGTATCCGGGAGTCCGGAAGCCGGGAGTGCGGATACGGGGTGTTCTGTGGGTGGGTGGTCCACATCGGAGCCGGTCGTTAAGACCTCGTCGCGTTTGGGACCGAACTCCGTGGTGGTGTCTTGGTTAGAGAGGGTCCAGCAGGTCATGGCATCTTGTACGGTTTTGCAAGCGTTTGCGTTGCGGAATGCTTCCCACTCGGACTCGTTGCCGATCAGAATGTTGGCCAGCTTGGCACAAAATTTAACGTCTGCGGTGAACATGTCTACAATGAAGGGTGCGGAGAGCGTAAGAACCAAGGTCCTGCCGGCCTCATGGGCAGTACTTGCCACGCGACGCATACTCGGGCCGTCAGCCGTTACAAAGAAGCCTGTGACACACACGACCTGCGCTGTGCGCCACACACTTTCTAGAGACTCAACATACTGTTTGCCCAACTTAGCCGTGGCACCCAAGCGCGTGCATAACGAACGGTTTTCTTTCGCAATACTCACAGCGCATGTACCGGTCGGCTCTTCCGCACTTACGTCGTAGTAACAACGCAGCCCAGGAATACTCTCTGCCGTCTCCTTCATCACTGACGCGTACGGATCTAACTCCGGCCCACTCGCCGTCTTACGACCTCCCACACATCCCACGAAAGCAACCTCAGACTCACCCTTCAGGCAAGCCGCCAACATCCGAGCAGTATTCTGACCAGAACCACCTGGCAATCTGATCACACATGGGTCATTAATCAGAGTATCAAAAAGATCATTATTCTTATCAGCATCATACATCTGATAACCATCTGGAAACAACGACCATCACAAGACCAAACCATCCCACCAGCATGGGGATGAGGACAAGGGGAATTGAGGACAAGGGGAATTGAGGACAAGGGGATATTACCTACCTTTAGAAAGATTGTACGATTGGTACCAGTCATCCGAGCATTCGCCTTTAATGAGATCTAGTATTGGGTTGCAGAATATGGCGCAGGCAATCATAATATGAAAAATCGAATCGGAACGGAACGGGGGGTTTGTTCTAACTAAACTGCGAACGATCTGGAGCCGTTTTGACCCTGCAACCAAAGTGGTCATTACGGTTGACCTAGAGTCAGGGTTAGAAGCCGTATCGAGCTCTGTACATTGGTTTCCATAGACACTCGTCAATGGCAAGAACGAGCAGTGTGGCCAAAAGTGATAGTCCAAGTTCCCACCACATGATGGGTAGTAGGCCGAGCGATTCTCGGATTCCAGGAAGAATGGTGGCAAGAACGCAGACGCAAAATGGGATGGCCACCGCAATGTGCATCCAGCCAGACCGATTGAACACTTTATAAAACGGGAGCCAGGATCGGACGCTGTACACCCAAAGCGTTTCGGACATGCCCGCAGTCAAGAAGCTCATCGAGTTCGCTCTCATGGCCGACCTAGATGGCGCAGTGTAGTAGTTATGGTCACGGCCATCCGGGTAACACCAGCCCAAGTCGTCCTTAGCCTCACATTCAAACTACGCGGATAAAGGGGTGTGCGTCTCATAGCGTGCATCTCATGGTGTGCATCTCATGGTGTGCGTCTCACGGCGTGCGTCTCACGATGTGCGTCTCACGATGTGCGTCTCACGATGTGCGTCTCACGGTGTGCGTCTCACGGTGTGCGTCTCACGGCGTGCGTCTCACGGCGTGCGTCCCACGGTGTGCGTCCCACGGTGTGCGGGACTCATATTGTGTGCAATTGATGTCCAGCTTACAGTATCAAGCCCTAAATCTTTGGGGGTGAATGCTCCATCTTTTCCAAGATACTTTCTTCCATTATAAGCTCTGCTGATGAGATGTGGTCGAGATTTTTCGTCGAAGTAGTTGACGTTAGTCTTCCAGCCGACCAGCATATCCCATGAAGGGGACTGGCAGTAGTAAGGAGTTCCGTTGCTCATGGTTAGACACTGACTGTTGATAGCGGCGGTGGTGAATGCTCCGGTCTGTATCCAAGAGAATAGAGCAGTGGATCCCATGATGACCGCGGATGCGGAGATCATATGGCCGAGAATGCCGTGTATCCAGCGTCGTCGGTTGAGAATATTGCTAGCTCTATTTCGGGGTGGCTTGCGCATGACATTGCTTTCAGGCGGTTCTTTACCTAGCGAGACTGCGGGTAGGGCGTCGCAAACAATGTTTACAAACAAGGTTTGAAGTCCGGACAAAGGGAGAGTCAGTCCGGCAATGACGCTGATTAATAGGTACACTATTTCACCGAAATCGGTACCTATCAGGAATGTTACAAACCTCTGCAGGTTCGCATACACTCGCCTACCCTCCTTTATGGCTTCCACTATCGTAGTAAAATTGTCATCCAACAGTATCAAATCTGATGCGCCTTTTGCAACATCAGTACCCGTAATCCCCATTGCGATACCTATATCAGCCGCTTGCAACGCCGGACCGTCATTTACACCGTCACCCGTCATTGCAACCACGTGACCTTGTCTTTGCAGCGATTTTACAATTGCTATTTTATGCTGCGGTTGCGCGCGCACGAACACACTCGTGTTTGCAATCACTAAATCGATTTGAGTCATCTTTCTCCCAGCGTCTGTTGGAACGCCGTTCGTTCCTACGGCAATGGCATCAACGTCCCCCCATTTGGTGTGCGCTTTTCGACGAATTCCGCAGCAGTATTCGAACCCGTCTTCTGTTGGCGGCACTACAGCTACGCTCGGTACCAGCAACTCCTCAGGCGGCACGTCTTCTAACGCAACCGTCAGATCAGTCACCATACAGTTTGTTATTTTGGGATGCGTTAGTCCAATTTTGCCAGCAATTGCCCTTGACGTCAGTTCCTGGTCACCTGTTATGATTTTTAGACCGACACCCGCAGAATTACAAAGCTCAATAGCCTCCTGGATACCAGGCTTGATGGGGTCACGGAACGCCAACAGTCCTAGAAACACACCCGTTACAGCCTGCAATATATCCAACCTATGATCGCCAGTGCCTGCAAGAACCAATGAGTCATAAAGATCTTCGCTCAATGGGATCATAGCAACGCCTAGGATTCGCAGTGCACGAGCGGCGAGTTCCCGATTAACATCTAGTATCTCATTGACCTCCGGGGCCTTCAAGAACGTCGTTCCCTCCTTAATCTCATCTGCAAGAGAAATTAAATGTGACAGGGAAACGAACTGGAAGGGAGGCAGCAGAAGGTTATGGTACATTTAGCATTGGGTGGAACAACCAGCTTTTGATTGAAGTACTGCAACAGTATCTCTGGTGCGCCTTTGATGGCCGCAATTGCTTCACACTTGGCATCGAATGGCCCGAAGGTTCCAGATTGGCACCGAACGATGCTGACCTGGAGCTTCCTTTTTGACGAAAAGGGAATGTTCAGATGCTCGTTAATATTTGGAATGTGTTCATCGTGCTTTACGACACCTGCTTTTGCGCAGGCCACTTTGATGGCCGCGTCGGCACTCATCCCAACTGCGTTCCAGCGACCCGTTTCCTGATCGAGCACAACGTTCCCGTCCGGACTGGCGGCTGCAGCTACGAGGAGCAGCAGCTTGACGGCCACCGCTTCTTCGGGGGCGACGTCCATCTCGTCGAAGCCGCTCGGCACGAGGGTCGAGCCGCAGCTGATGGCGCGATCACTGTACACGTGAACCCCTTGGTGCTCCGCCAGGTAATCCCTCTGGTGGTTCCCTTGGTGGTTCCCTTGGTGGTCCTGACTGATCTTGTGGCTGAGCTTGTGGCTGATCTTATGGCTGATCTTGTGGCTGATCTTGTGGCTGAGCTTCTGACTGATCTTGTGGCTGATCTTGTGGCTGATCCCTTCCATGGCGGGGTCGCTGAGGGCCCTGGCCGCCATGGCTTCGGGTTCCTGGTGTACTTCTTCGTCTCCATCTTCATCAACGGGGACCAGGACGCCTCGGGGGTTGTAGCCGTCGAGGGGCAGGAATCGGGCCTTACAGGCGCATATTTCAGAGTGTGTGGGTAGGTTCAGTTGTGCCTTATGCAGGTCGCGAAAGGAGATGAGACTTTCGCAGACCAGACGACTCTGCGTGAGAGTGCCAGTCTTGTCAGTACAGATGACGGAAGTGCAGCCAAGTGTCTCAACGGCAGGTAGTCTGCGGACAGCAGCGTTGAGTCGCTTCAGGTTGCGGCAACCCATGGCGAAACAGCTGGTGACCACGCTGGGTAGACTCTCGGGCATAGCTGCTACAGCGAACCCTACTGCGAGCGACAAGACGCTCACGAACCGGCTGCGCTGTGGCTGCGCCGGGTCGCTGTAGCCGCTGAACCAACCCACTATAATAATCGTCACCACGAAGACCACGGCCAAGATACCGATCGCGCCGCCGAGACGATCCAGCCTTGACTCCACAGGCGACTTGGTCCCGATTTTGACTTCGTTCATGATGGCTTCCGCGATGCGCCCGACTCGCGTCTTAAGCCCCACCGCGACTACCACGCCTTTCCCGAAGCCGTTGATGACCAGCGTGGAGTGGTAGAGCATGTGCTGGTTGCTGACTTGGTCCTGTACGCTCGGCCCCTCCTGTCCGTGCTGGCTGCTCTCTTGGTCTTGATCCCGGTCCTGCCCCGATCCGTCCCGTCCCGGCCCATCCTGTCCCGGCCCATCCCGTCCCGGTCCATCCCGCGTCTGCCCCTCCGGTCCGAATGTGTCGCGTTTGAGGAGCATGCCACCGAAGGTCCGCACTTCGTCGACGTCTTCTTCCAGGACGGCTTTGGCGACTTCGCAGGACTCGCCGGTGAGGATGGCTTCGTTGACACGGAGCTCGCGCGCTTCGGTGAGGCGTACGTCAGCGCCGACGCTGCAGCCGGGTGAGAGCAGGAGGAGGTCGCCGACGACGAGTTGGTCGGTGGGTATTTCGATTTCCTGGTTGTCGCGAATGACTCGGCTGGTGGCGTTGGCGAGTTGAGAAAGGGCGCTGAGTGCGTTGTTGGAGCGTACGGTAACCAGTGTGTCTGAACCGGTGTTGAGTATGACGAGGACGAGGACGACCACACCCTCAGCCCAGTCACGGAAACAGAGTGAGACCACGGCGGCGGCGACGAGGCAGAGAGTGAGCGGGTTGGCGACGGCGCGGAGGGCGTGTTCCCACCACCGTGTGCGACGCACATTAGCCATGACATTCGTGCCGAAGCGTTCTGCATTGCGGCGCACTTGGGAGGTACTCAATCCCGCACGCGCGTCCGTCTCGAACTCTGCACACAACGTCTGCAATGTACGTGTCTCTTCCGTACTCCGTAGCACCTGTGTCACCGCCTCCTGGACCGCTGCCGGCTGAGCAGAACGAGCCTTGCTCAACAAATCTTCCGCACTACACTGCGAAGACATCAACTGCTCAATCGCCGTACGCGCACCATCCTCTTGAATACGAGCTATCGTTGCCGTCGCCTTACGTGTTGACCGACTTATGTCCACTGTCAACGACCGTTTTCCCGGCGGCTTCGCATTCGCTCCCGAACTCCCTGTCGCCACCGAGTTGCGCCGCGCCGCCGAGACGGAGTTGCGCGCGACTGAGTTGCCCACAGCCTGCGCCAGTTCGAGTTCCGGCACGCCCGAGTGTTCCGGTGCCACAGTCGAAGACCGCCTCCTCGAGACCAGTGTCGACGAGAGTCTACGTAAGCCAGCCCTGAGAGCGGACATGACGCATCAGCAAGTTTTGTTAGGGTAAAATCGGTGCCTCGGAAACGGCGTTCGCAGGCGGACTATCTAGCTGCTGCTTCTCCTTCATCTTTTTTTTGTTCAAAGTCAACTCGTGGATCATCATGACCAACTTGGTCGCAAACCCTACAACGCCGCTTATGGCTCGACCGACCAGGGAAGGGGGAGGAAAGGGGGCAGATGGTTCAACTGACAAGGGAAAGGGATCGGGGGGAGGGGCAAGGGAACACCTGGGCGTACCTATATACGAAGCCAGTAGGGCGTCGTTGGTGTAGCGTTGGAAGCCCTGGGCCAGCACGTCAGGGTCGCTTTTTTCGGGAAGTGAGTTCATCAAGACCTGAAGCTGCGCCAGAATGTGTGGCTTCACTTCCCGTCGGCCCTCCGCCACGTCTTTCAAGTAGACGGAAATTTGCTCCAGTTTCTTGGCAGCGGTGGACAAAGCGTTCACCTTGTCCTCGATCTGGAGCGGAGTTGGGCATGTGTGTGTTGACCATGTGCGATGCATATGTGTACCATTTGAAGCACGTAGGTATCGTATGCGCCTGTGTTATGGTGCCACATAGTGTGTGCCAGACAGTGTGTGCCAGACAGTGTGTGCCAAACAGTGTGTACCAAACAGTGTGTGCCAAACAGTGTGTGCCAAACAGTGTGTGCCTAACAGTGTGTGCCAGACAGTGAAGCGGTGCGTGGCGAGTGGAAGAAGTGTCGTGTGGTTTACAGCGGTTCCGAGAGTGACTTCATAGTTGGATTCGACGTCCCTGAGTAGGTGTTCGACGCCGACTTCTTCGGCCTCGGAGGCACCGAGAGTGAAGTTGGTGTGTACGAAGGTGCGTCTGTTTTGGTTGTCGTGGGAGGGTTGTTCGAAGGAGTAGTAAGTTTGGACGAGAGGTTTGGCGTTTTCTTCTTTGCATTTGGCGGCGACGTCAACAACTAGGAAGAGGGGGTGACGACAGTACTGTCTGAAGAGCTCATGTATCATATGATCGTTTGGTTTGATGACACCGGCAGAACTATACCATCCGACTACGTTTTCACGAGCATTGATTTTCTTAAACATGCGAAACATCTTGTCAAGGTAGCTATGGTCAAGATACCAAATGGTAGTGTCTTTAGCATGTTCCTCAAAAGGAACACCGAAGGAATTGGTAACGTGAGTCTTCCCCGAGTCCGTCTCACCCAACAGGCACCCTACCACCCGCCGGTTCGTGCCCTGCGCCGCACGCATATAGTGGTCTGCAATTGACAACAATGGCGTGGGGTGAATCGCAATCTCCTGTGTCTCCAATAAGTCCACATCTTCTTGTTTAAAGTATTGGTACCAACCCGTAGCGTGCCGCTCGTCCGCCGTATCCCGCTGAGCCTTCTGCAACGCCTTCTCACGCCGCTCCTGCGCCAACCGCTCGCGGTCCAATACCGACTTTGGCTGCGCCTTCTCCTCCATTTATTTCAGATAAAAACTTCACCACCAGACACGCACTTCCACCCACCCATTCTCTCCCAGCCTAGCTGACGTCCCCAGACCGGCTCACCATGCTGTGCAGACCGCTCATGATGCTGTCGCGTGGCCTGTGCAGACACCCGAATAACAGACGGTCTAGAAACCGTGAGAACTCACACAACAAAAAACCAAAATGAACCCAACTAGTCATCAGATTGGTCCAACTAGTCATCAGATTGGTCCAACTAGTCATGACTGGCTAAATTGGTCATCAGACTGCCGACAAACGCCCGTCACCGGAGTGGCCGAACACACACGGGCAGACGGTGCGTCAGTGGCTCAACACACAGTGGGTCAGTGGCGGAACAAGCGGGTCCCTGGCCGGGCGAAGGGCCAGAAGGCAGCTACCACTGAGAGGCGTTTGTTGGCCAGCTGCTGCTCGGCATCGACACGTTCGACTGCACGATTCCGACAATGACGCCAAACAGACCTGCAGAGGCGGTGTGGTGAGCGGGCGCGGGCTTGAGGAATGGGGTGGATGCAGGGGAGTCAGCATACCAAGAGCAGAGGCGAAGATTTCGACGACGAGCATTTTGACGAAGAGTTCTGGAAGTTGTGCATCGCCAAGGGCGCAGCTACTGCCGGCGACTCCAACGGAAAGGCCACAGACCAAATTCGAACCGCCGACCGTGATGCCTGCGCAGAGGAGAGCCCAGCCCGCGACGGCGGCTTCAGCGGGGAGGCCGGTGTTGCAGGGCATGGTAGGGCTACAGTGAAAGTCGGGGATGAGTGAGTTCTTGGCGTTGAGCAGAATGGCCATAATGACTCCGTAGATAGCCACGGCTTCGCAGAAAATAATCGACACCAGGTTCTTCGACCTGATTCTCGGACTCCGGATGGCCGCGCCCATCAAGGATGAACCGGTCAGGAACATCCCCCAGGCGGCGCCAGTTACTGAGAACGCAATCGCAAACGCTACGCCAAGAAATCCCCAAAACGAGGGGTGTATATACTGGAACACATCGCCCCAAGTTGTCAGGTTCATAGAGTCAGCAGCTACAGACCATAGGATCATTGTCACCGCGTCGGGCCGCCGTGACGCCCACCGGATCGTCGCGACCGGATCATTGTGATTCCGACAGGACCGTGGTGAAGCCCCATAATCGTCATGAATCGTCGTGCAGCCACACGCCCCGTGATAACCGTCACGGGGCAGATCGGATTCTGGTGGTCCAGATCGGATCTTAGTGGCTGTGTCTGGTCGTCGTGGGCATGTCCTAGCTCTCATTATGTTGCCTCAGGTACAGGAGTCCCTCAGTGCCTCAGGTACAGGAGTCCCTCAGATACAGGAGAGTGCACAAGATAGATCGTTGGCCGTGAATGATTAGCGAGATCCTCGCAGTGTGGGGCACGGTAAAATGAGTGAACAGCCTTACCGATGGCCATGATATCTGGTTTTACAGGCGGGAAAAGATGAACTTTAAAATTTCGAGATATTCACACAACGCAAAGGAGGGAATGAGTGGGGGAAGGGCTTGGTGCTGGAAGTTTTAGCCGAGGACCTGGGTGGGGTCCTAGTTAGTGGTAGGGTCCTAGTTAGTGGTAGGGTCCTAGTTAGTGGCGGAACTGGGTTTTTTTAAATCAGCAGGGACGTTATGCAGAAGCTGAAGGAGTATTTGGCGCAGTATCAGCTACCAGTCGTGTTTGCGACAGGGGAACACCTAGGCCGCCACAATCCTTGGAGCATGGCTCAAGGCAAGTTGAAATCGACTGGCGAAGAAGCCACTGTACTTTTCCATCAGGTAGGCGACCTCCACCTGTGCTGTGTATGGCTACCAGATTAGAATGAAGCAATGGATGCCGGCACAATTGACTACTTAAAATTGGACGCTATCTCATTATGTCGATACCGCCATCCTGGAATTGTGTCTCCTTTGATTCCGCTGTACAGCAGTCCTGCAGTTACTTTGATAGCTATTCGACCGGTCTCAACAATATTACAAAGTACGACTAGCTCGCCCGCACCCTGCACAACCCTTGATCCGTGTGCAGAGCTACGATTAAAACTGTCATTGCCTGAAGTGCTCCATGGATTACGAGATTTACAGTCAACTGTAGAATTCCTTCACTCTCGTAAGTCGAACTATACTTTGTGTAATCTGTATGCACTATGTGCACTCTGATGGGAGCGTGCGTCTGATGGGAGCGTGCGTCTGATGGGAGCGTGCGTCTGTATCTATTTCTCTATATAGAATGTCGTATCGCTCATTTAAATATATGTCCTTCAACAATATACGTTGATCGTAATGGCAAATGGTTGTTGGGTGGATTTCTGTGCTCGGCACCCATCCAGGACCGTTTGGGAGGTATGTTGAACAATTCTGGCGCGGTAGGCGGAACATCCATATATAACTGTTTTGATGGCAGTACAAGCCTGGATGAATGTGACCGGTTGTCGCTGAGTATCATCGCCAAAGAGTACCTCTTATGCGTACAGGGATTGATACCACCTCCTGGAGGAGTGTCAGTTGACTTAACAAGAACAGATCCTGTCGGAATCAAGTTGGCTAGGGAGTTCTTAGAAAGACAATCACGAAAGCATTTAAGCCACCAAGAGCTAGAAGTTGTCCATTCCCTAATTCGTGGTCCTACTGGCGATCCGAACAAAGGTGCTGGGGTTGCAGATTTGCCCGTGTTCAAATCCAAGGTAATGACAATATATGAAGGATTCGACGAATTCCATAAAAAACCGGTTTACGAGCAGTTGCGATTCTTGGAGCATATATTGCAAGACCCTTATGAAAATTCTTTGGGTCGCGATCGGCAAACTTCTATCAATATCTCGGTTTTGAAAGATGGCGGGGATGACTTAATGAAGGCATCTTTCATTAATAGCCACATTCTACCGTCCCTTCTAACTTGCATCAGTAGCGATACTAGTTGCAGGGATTTCTCTCGTATCATGCCTAGGATAATTTACGCCATTTTACAGTGCGTCAAACTCGACCATAAAATGTACCACACACGTGTTTGGCCATATCTAAAAAAATTATTGAGCGCAAGAGAAATTGGAATTAATGCCGTCACTCAGATACTAAAGGAAGTGCCCTTCCTTCTATCCCTCGACCCGGCCCAGGAGAGTGTCTGGATACAGTTTGTGGTCAAGTGTATCAGCATAAATGAGGCTACCATACAATCGATAGCGATTCAGCAGTTGCCGAGGGTAATCAAGAATCTAAGACCCAACACTCTGGATACCGCTCTCAATACCGTCGGTAGCATCGTAGCCAGCACGGCGGCGGTCTTCGGTCAGAGTTCGCAAGGGGTACAGAATCCTGGCGTGACTGAGAATAGAGTTGGTGACTCACAAAAATCTACGGGAAGCGGACTTTTAAGCAGCGGCGTTGATGCTCTCGTGGCGACGTTAAGTACTGCGGGCATTCGCCCCACGACCAGCTCTGGCATCACACTGGTCGACATTGTCAAGGCAGTTTGCACCACGGTCACTCGTAGCCCTTCTGCGGTCTCCGCGACCGGCTCCACGGCCGGGGGCGCCGCAGCGGGGGCGGGGGTTACTCCTGAGTTGCGCACTTGTGCGTTCCAATGCTTCCACGAGCTATTGTCCGTGTTGGACTTCGACACAAAGAAAGATTTAATTGTGCCTACCATTATCAAAATTGTTTCGGATGATGCATCAACTCAGGTAAGCAGGGCAGCAGTCAGCCTCTGCCGACAGACTCACTGGGGCTTCTCCCTCCACGAGCGCGTTCGGCTCCTCCTTCCCGTGTTGCTGGTGGTTATATCTCATGAACATCTGGACCATGACACGTACCACGAAGCGAGAAAATTGCTGCAAGAGAATCTACAACAAATTTACAACGTAAGAGATGTTCGGTCCGGCACCCAGCTCGTTAGCGCCAGCCAAATTGTTGTTGCCAACCAACTCGGAGCCCAAGACCCGAAACCGTCTATGACTCAAGGACGGACAGAGCCCAAAGAACAGAATGGGTCAGCCAACCGGCAACTGCAAAACAGAACGGAAGGTGGAACGAAAGTCGGGCCCCCAAAGTATGAAAAATCACTCGACGATCTCTTTGTGAATGATACCAGTACTGATCCGTTCGACGCGCTTAGGCATCTCTAGCTTTCGTGGAGACAAATTCCGCTTTGACGGAGGTGCCTTCAGTTTAGGAGGCTTGCCTACAGCCCCGCGTTAGCCAGGCCTACAGCCCCGCGTTAGCCAGGCCTACAGCCCCGCGTTAGCCAGGCCTACAGCCCCGCGTTAGCCAGGCCTCGTTAGCTCTACAGCCCAGTTATTTGAGTCATAATACACATTTGTTACGCTTGCCCCAGTTCCACAAGCCGTACTACATTCCGATACGATCTCCTCTTTGGTGAATGCTTTATAAAACCGGTAGCACTCAGCCGCAGGCAACGACCACTTGACAAGCACTGGAATCAAATACAAATTACCCAACAGCAGAGCCCGTCAGGGGGAGCTCGAAAGGCGGAGCATTCCCGCGCCTTATGGATCGGTGGTAAAATATAACGAACCCGTGGATCGGCGGTGGTACAATAAGAGCGACAGTCGAGAGGAAGCGGTGTTGGAGAGGGGGATGGTTAAGGGGACGCGATGCTTACTTTCTGGTTCGTCGAATTTCCTAGCTCCGATGGTCCCCTGCTTCTGTTCCTCGGCCCATACGTATATGAGGATCTTGCCTCCCGGCTTGGTAATTCGAACTAGTTCCCGAATTCCTTCAGCTCTCCTGTCTGCTGTAGTGATGTGATGGAGAACCGCAATGCAAATACAAAAATCGGCGATACCGCTTCTGAAGTGGAGTTGCAAAGCGTCATCGCGAAACACTTCCACCGGTTCGAGCATTCTGCGCGCCTCTTTTGCGAAGAGAAGAGTGTTTACTGAGTTTCTTGCGTTGGTTAAAAGGTTGGAACTGTAGTCCGTTCCAATCCACAAGGCTCTCGGGTGCACCGCGGTACTGTATTTGCCGTTGCCGCATCCAACATCGACAATTATCTGACCAGCACACGTGTGCGACGCCAGCCAATTAACAATTTTAGGCCATCCTTTATACCGGGTGTTGCTGAAATGGTCCGCAATATTCTCGTAAACCTCATGCACGTATCTCTCCTCATATTGCACTGGTCCGAGGTGCGCGAACTCCTCAGGATCCACCTTTTTCTCCTTATCCCCAGATTTACCAGCGCTGGGAAACCAGCCCAAATTAAACTTTAAGAAAGGATTGAATTCTGGCACTGGATTCGACGCTGTATTTGGGACCGATTCTATCGGTGGGACCGATTCTCTCGGTGGGACCGATTCTCTCGGTGGGACCGATTCGCCTAAAAAATCTCTCGCTTCAACAATGGAGACCGATGGATTTTGACTACTTGGGTTAGTTCCATATATATTATATACATTAATGTCCTCTGGATCTTGAATCCATACTAGATATTGGCCCTTATGAATCAGTCTCACCTCCATATCATTTGTTACCAAACTTTTTCTTCTTACAATACAATTCGAACGGGGACAGTAAAAGTATAAAACCGATTGATACGACATTGGACACCACCAGTAGTTGTTGGAGCCGAACGGTACCTTGATAACAGTGGCAAACCCTCCAGCCCCATCGCAGTCTCCCGCATTTATGCGATGACCGTGTTCGAGACAGACATATGTGGGCTTGTTAACTTTGCGTCCGGCCTTTTCGCACACCTTTTCTGAATCCATTATCATTAACAGCTTCAATACACAATCGTCCTTCGTCATCGCACTTGACCTCGCTCCCGAAATGTCCAACAGAATATCTCTTTCCTTCTCCAACGATCCGCTCCGGCAGCCCGGCGAGTCACACGTGACGCCCAACAAACTAAATTCCAGGTCCGCTAATGAGGAGGCCCTTCGTAACAGAAGACCCGTGCCAAATGACCTTACTACCCTGTCCTTTTCGCCTTGGACAGTTCTCTTGACAAAACTGTACAGAGGATGCTTTTCCCGCAACGACCTACACCAGAAACTCATTGACAGTCAACCACTCTTACGTTAAATGAATCTTCTCCATTTCCTCAGACGGTCCTCACCTCTATTCCACTATCCGAGTCCAGACCGTATTCTGGGCACGAATTCTCCACTCGAAATTACTGTCAACCCCTCCCTGGCATTCAAACCCGCACGCCTTCTTTACCTCCTTCCACAAAAATCCGTGAAGTTTAGAATATCTACAGTCGGCGCACGTGGCTATAGACGCCACATGCAGGACCAACAATGTTACGTTCGTACCATTCTGTCATCGCCTAGTTATTGGCAAAAAAGAAGTCGTGCACCTCTTCGATGCTGACTT